ATAATAATTGCATGTTTCAATAAAAATATACTTTATGTTGATAAAATATACACTTTTACTCATTCTGTACTATTCAAATAATTTATTCTCAGAAGCATACAAATGAATTATTATTAAAGAGAATTTATATGCGTCGACTGTATAAGCAAATTTTTTCGAAATCAATGGCAATGATTTAACCAAAATTTAAAGAGTTCAATGAATTATATTTATACAATATGTTGTGGCAAATAATACGGCTATATAACAGATTATTTTGTTGAAAAAATTAATCATAATTATTTTCGATACATGACTACTTTCAGCCATTACTTACAAATAACAAACAAGCTATTGGAATCTCACAACATAAAATATAATTTTGAGAACTTAAAACATTTTTTTAATTGATCTTATTGGTAAGAAACATATTTTGAAAGCTAAAAACTATTTATAGGAACAATAACATTACATGGAGCGATTATTGAGGTATAAAAACTTGTTTAAAGAAAAAAATAAAATTTTGTCTGAATTGGCAAAAAAAAGCTAATTATATAATCTCGAAAAAAAGTTGTAAAAATTGTTGCTATTTTATTGAGATTGAGCAGATAATTATTTCAAAATATAAATTAAGAGTCGAAAGAACTTTTATATGATGCTATAAAACCAAGCAATATTTTTTTAAGGTATTATTTTTAGAACCAAATTGGAATGACAGCAACGTATAATTCGATTTAGATGCAAAATGTGTATTTTAAATGTAAGATGTTTTATATATGGTATCGATGTATTATAACTACCAAGACTTTCTCCTGATGTCACACAAACTAAAATTCTTCTGTCATAACAGAAAAGAGAAGCTGGCAGCATAATGAAATTAAACTTATATATTTAAGAAAATATACATACATGAAACAGATTTGCAGGGATTTTTTCTTTAGTGACACCTACTCTAAATATATTTTGCAAATTAAATGAAAAAAGTTCTTCAAATACTGTGCAAATACCTTAAAAACTATTTTACAAAGGTTTTGTCCGAAACACTGTATTTTGATAATCAAAAAAAGTTTTCTTATTGTTTTAGGAAAGATTAAAGATAGACTTAATGAAAGGTGTCATAGTCGATCTTGTAATCTGAAAAGAAAAAGCAGACAAAATAGCTAAACAATTATGTGCATCCGCAAGGACATAGACGAATTTGAAAAGATAATTTGGGTTTTACTCACTGTAATCAAATATAGGCACAATATCATCTGACATGAAAGAATTGTCAGTTCACTGATATGTTTTTTAAGATTCAAAATTGACTTCACATAGGAATTATATATTAGACAAATTTAATCTAAATCGAGGATTAAAAATGAATAATAATTCATATGAGAAGTTGCTTGGACAAATAAATATTTCAGAAAATGATATTATTGGCTGAATAATTTGTTAATGTATGATATATTAGCACTAGTGCAGATTTAGAAGACTCATTTGTCTATAATTACATTTTAACTCTACAATGAAGCGTGATAAGTTTAATACAGTCGCAGATGCTTGGAACCCCATTTTTTGGTTTATAGCCGTGCCTTTCTCGCAAAGATCTTTGATACAGACAAAAATACAAGATGATATAATTCGGAACGTTTTGAAGGTAATAATTGAAATGTTAATGAAGTAAGTGATCATTTATTTTTGACTATACCCAATAAAGAGTTCATGTTCTAGGAAAAAAAATTCAGCTGAAGTTATAAGAGTAGAATAAAGCATATATAAATCGTTTGCATATTTATTCATTATTTGATTGAAGGTTTTCATTAACCCAATCTAATATTACTGGGAGTACTTCGATTTGAATTTACTGATTTCTCCTTATATGCTGGTGTGGCAATTTAAGTTTTGATGAATAATAAGGTACATCTCAGGCCTAGATGTAAAGATATTCTGTATTTGCAAGATTTTTATTAAAATCCTCAAAGTATTGAGTCTATAAGCGAACATAATCATTGTAAGTTCTTAGATTATCCGAGACAAAGCGAATATTTATCAGAAGCAACAATTACAAAAGTTAAAAGTATGATAAGGCAAACCTTGTACAAACTTGAGCTTTTCTATATTTTAAATGAGAATAGAAAGATAATTAAAAACAGAAATTTCAGAATAAACTAACAAGTAAATTTATATAAATAAATTGAAAACAAAGACTACTTTGCGAATCAAATGCCCAAAACACCGAGCCAATAAATATTATTGAATCTCCAAGATGCCTAAAGAGAGGAAAACTATCCACGTGATTATCCAGTGTTTATACATTAGTATAGAAATGTATTACAGGAACTTGAAGAAAATATCACATATTGTAATCTTGGTAAACTATAGTGCACGTAACGAAGAAATATTCAAAAAAAGGCGTTCTTCCGCCTACATCAGAGGACATATAGAAGTTAATCAATATATATGTTTGTTTCTATCTAAGAAAAAAATTAAGATTTTCAAGAAAATATTCATAGAAACCTTGTTTTTCAAATTTGTGCTAATATATATGTGAAAATATGAAATATCAATGTATGATAGAAATAATGCTAAAACTTGAATCTATGAACTTTCAGTGTTGGGTGCAATAAGAAATATACTATGATTGCCCATCCATAAGTCGAAATAGATTAGAAACTAGGTTTCAATTTTTTGAACCAAAATAGCTGAAAATATGACTTATAATCAAATATTAAGATACATTTACAGTGAGACAATAATAATGGCTTCAGTGAAAATCCGAGGTGAAATTATAACTGCAAGTTATAAGATTTGGTTAGAGAGCTTCAAATTTGTTATTAAAAGAGATACATATTCAGTCTATGAATCCAAAAAACAGTATAAACTATTTAAACCCATCGAAAAAAGAGTTTGTAATCAACATCAAATGCTGAGGATAATGAGAAATAGCTTCGTTGGATGTACTATAAGCAACCAGAAGAACATCTATCAATTCCTTCTTTAAAATATTTTATAAGAGAGACAAATTATTAATTAAAAAAGATCCGAAATCACAATATTCTAATTTTTGATGATACAATTGCTGCCGATAAATCAATATAATTCAATATAAATTATAAAATTTAGAATAATACCAAGGAACAAAACATTATCCAATCCAGTATTCAAAAAATTAAAATAACCAAACTTTATTCCAAATATAATATAAAGAAATAAAAATTTTTATTATAAGGTAACATACCAATCTATAAATAAATTTTCTACAAATAGAAATTTAATTATTAATTGTATTTTTTCTAATTTATTTCCATATTTTTACAATCATTATTATAAAGAAATATTTGTTCAAATTTTCTTTTACCTTCCAATCTTTTAATTATCTCTTCATTAGAAATTTCCATTATTTTTCTAAATTTTCTTCGTACGCTTAAATAACAAGCAATAGCAAATTTAAAGTCCCCAGTTGAATAATAAAGCATTAAAAGACAAACACCTTTTAAATATAAAAATGAAGGTATGTTATGAACAACAAGTAAAACCTCTTTAAGGCTTTTTTTAGTAAAAAGACAACACAATAAATATTTTTGTAAGGAAGAAGCATATTTAAACCCAAAATTATGAAAACAAAAACATTTTGTTTTTTCTAATACTTCATCTGTAATTAAAGGGGTGTTAAGTATAGTAGTATTTTCCTTTGTATTTAAAGGGGTGTTATTTATACCGGTATTCTCCTTGTTGATTGAAGGGGTGTTAAACATTGTAGTATTTTCCTTGTTGGTTGAAGGGGTGTTAAACATATTAGTATTCTCCTTTGTAATTAAAGGGGTGTTAAACATTGTAGTATTTTCCTTGTTGGTTGAAGGGGTGTTAAACATAGTGGTATTCTCCTTGTTGATTGAAGGGGTGTTATTATAATGATTATTTTCCTTTGTATTTAAAGGGGTGTTAAACATTGTAGTATTTTCCTTTGTAATTAAAGGGGTGTTATTTATACTAGTATTCTCCTTTGTAATTAAAGAGGTGTTATTTATATTAGTATTTTCCTTATACATCATAGAGGTGTTATCTACAACTGATTCCCTTTGTTTATTAAAACTTCTTTCCCGTTTAAATTCCAAGCAAGAACCATCACAATAAATAAGACCCGTATCGACACATCCTTTTCTTAATATTTCATGAATTATTTCTTTCTGTTTATTAGTAAGTTTAACCCCTGTTAAAGCACTATAAATCTTCTTTCTATCTCCTATTTTAAAAAAACGCGAGCAACTCAAAACCTCGTTAAAAAGAATTTTATCCATAAAAAAGGGGGATTCCTTTAAATGAAATATTAAGGTGTTATTTATATAAAAATAATATATGATAATTAACACCCTTTGGTTTTTGGTATATTACTAACCCCTTTATCATACTAGCTAATAATATACACCCTTTAGATTACATGCACAGTAACTAACACCCCTTTATCATACTAGCCTTGTAATTAACACCCGTTATAGTACTATCTAGTAACTAATACCCTGTTAGTTATTAGACTATCATTAACAACCCTCTACCATACCTATTCCTTTACATCCTTTTACACCCCTTTAATCACAACCATTTTACTTAACACCCCTTTAAAAACTTAACCTTAAACATTTAGTTAATAATACTATATATAATAAATAAAACCCCTTTAATGACTTAAAAATAAAACCCTTTAGATCATAAAACCCTTTAGATCATAATACTATATATAATAAATAAACCCCCTTTATTGACAGTCGTTGTTATCCTTCTTTCTTCTAAAAAGTAAAATATTCGGTTCTGGCTTATAAATCATATAATGTTCCCAACCATCACTCTGTACCACACCAAGCTGTCTCCACTCATCTTCAGTCAACAGTCTATCTGTAGGAATAAGATGTACCATTTCTTTAGGAAGAATTACGTGTCTTAGAACATAATCGTTAGAAGTGTATCGTTCTGAATACGTTATTTTCTTCTGAAGTAGTCTAATGTCATTCATTAAGGGGTAAAGGTAAGTAAAATGAAATTGACAAGAGTGGGATTCGAACCCACGCCCTAACTAAAGGACTGCGACCTGAACGCAGCGCCTTAGACCACTCGGCCATCTTGCCTTAAATTTTAGATAATTAAATTTGAATATTAAGAATAATACAATTTTATAAATTTGTAATAAATATATTAGAAAATTGATATGATTTAGGTTTGTCTAACACCCCTCTAGAAAATTAAAGATTACCAACGGAATTAACACCCTCTTAACCATCGTAGAAATATATTGGCTGTTAACACCCTCTTATTGTATCTAAAAATCCACAAAAGATAACATCTTATTGCCAACATGTAATTACTACAGTTACCAACACCCTGTTAACATGATACTGATATCTGATATATAACACCCCTTTGACGAAGATAATAAAACACAAGTCGTTAAAACCTTGTTAATCATCGTACCGATACCAAAATATATAACACCCTTTTACTCATGATGAATATACTACGGCTATTACAACCTGTTAATCATGATACTGATATCTGATATATAACACCCTTTTACTCATGAGGAATATACTACGGCTATTACACCCTGTTAATCATGATACTGATATTTGATATAGAACACCCTTTTACTCATGAGGAATATACTTCAATTTTTAACACCCTGTTAAGCATGATACTGATATTTGATATAGAACACCCTTTTACTCATGAGGAATATACTTCAATTTTTAACACCCTGTTAAGCATGATACTGATATTTGATATATACCATCCTGTTAACGATGATAATAAAACACAAGTCCTTAAAACCCTGTTAATCATCATACTAATATCAGATATATAACACCCTGTTACATACTATATATTTTATATATCTGAATTTCTAAACATTTCCTTACATCTGACATTTTTAAGGAAATTACCTATCACATGACCTAATACATCATTGAATCAAACCTAAGACAAACAGTTTCATGTTCTTTCTATAAAACGCACCCACCAATGTAAAACACATGTACTGGCTCTTATCACCATACTTCTTGCTTATATGGCAATCAATTTCTTCAAAGGGAATATATTATGAGAGTATGTGGGATCCAGTTGTAGCTAATCCCGAATATAAAGTTAAGAACGATATCCTATCACTACAAGGATTCTACGAAAGTCACAACGTTCCTTCTATCCATGTTAAAACATATGGTGATTTGAATTTACTGACTGTAAATATTTACAGAGATATAATTGAAAAACACCGTAATATTACTCTTAAACAGGAACTAAAAGCCATGATCGATCATATTCATCCGACTATTTTTACCATTCAAGGAGTTGATGAAGAGATTTTATCTGAACTTGGACCAATGGCTAATTCTCATTATAAGATTGTAAATAATGATCGAAGTACAGGAGATTTCAATTCTGGGAAAAGACTATTTTTACCGATAATATATGACAGTGTAATGTTAGAACTAAAGGACCACGACTACTTCTATACAACTGGAGAAACAAAGAATATTTACGCTTCATTCGCAATATTTAAAAATCTTAGAGAGTCTTCGAGTGAAATAACCGCTATTAATTTGGATTTAGTTTCTAGTTATAAAGAAGTAAATTTTGCTTATTTATCAAATATTATAAATGATATAATTCACGATCCAAGAGTAAATAATGATATTGTGTTTTTGATGGGTGGAATAGGGGCTGTAAACAAAGATATAACGGAATTACTTAAAAAGGAATATGAAAACTTGGTTGATTTAGATAAAAATAATATAAATTTATCCCATACTACTGTACATGCTAATTTAGTACAGGATGATGATATACAGAGAGATTTCATCATATTAAGAGATAAAAAAAGAGAGATGGAATTGAACTATGCAAGAATTTTAAAAGAAGCTAACTTTTTAGGCGATCATTTTCCTGTTAATGCTATACTTAGTTTTACAGGGCAGGTAGGTAATAAGACTACAATTTATGGTGTTGAGTAATTTAAATAAAGGAGTAAAATTAAAGTGTGTTAGTATAACGTTTGTTTTTATAGTTACTTTAATTAAAGAGGTATTCCCAGTATCTCTATGTTAAGATCCTTGCTTAAAAGATGTAAATTCATAGTATTACTATGCCTTATTAGGGTGTTAAATATCAATAGCTTAATATAACAGGGTGTAAATTCGGGGTATTTCTATATAATAGGGTGTTATTTACTAAGACGTTATCTTAATAGGGTGTTATTAATACTAATATATCTTAATACCCTTTTATTTATATGTAAAGGTATATTAGCGTTTTATTTATGAGTAAAGGTATAATAGGGTGTTATTTATATGTAAAGGTATAACAGGGTGTTAATTCAGTGTATTAATGTATAATAGGGTGTTATTTATATGTATATCTATACTAGGGTGTTATTTATAGTACTATGTCTTAATAGGGTGGTAATGTTTTACTTATAAATATCTTTTAAAAGAAAATATAAAATAAAATTTAATTTTTATTTTTTATTTATTTTTTTAATTCCAAAAGATTCTTTCTTACTTCTAAGAATGTCATGATTCTTTGGGGGTGGTTTATTTGTCAGTATTTTTGTTGCAATGTACGCAAATAATGCTGTAAGAAGAAGAGATAAAAGAAAATAAAAGTTAGAGAAAGTATCGATTGATATATGAGAAGTAAACGACATTTAGGGGTCTGTGATTAAGGAGTAATCACTTATTGTTCTGATAAAAGGAGTAAGATTCTTGATTAGGAAATAAATTGATTGTAATAATTTAAATATATATTTAAAGGGGTGTTAAATATAAGGAAAGGTTGGTGTATTTAAAGGGGTGTTAAATATGTGTAATCTTCATTTTTATTTAAAGGGGTGTTAAACATAGGTACCTTCAATGTTTGTTTAAAGGTGTTTTAAACATTTGTAGATTCTATGTTTAGTTAAAGGGGTGTTAGGTACTAGTAAAATAATTTTATTTTATATTTTTTTTCATTTCTTTACCCTTCTATGAGTTCAGTTTTAAAACACAACAAAATAACTGAAATGACTGTAAATCTTCCAGCAGTTGCAAGAAAAGTTTCATGGAAGCGAAAAGCATCAGGTGCCATGAAAAAACTTAAGAAATTTTTACAAAAACAATTTAATGTAGAAGGGGAAGTAGTAATGTCTCCTGAATTGAATAAATTTGTATGGAAAGGTGGAATTGAAAAAGTACCAAGAAGAATCAGAATTAGAGTAGAAAGATGTACAAGTAAGAAGAATGTTGAGAAAAGTGCCTTAAGAGTTAGCTTGGTACTTGTGGGATCTTTCAAAGGACTTAATTCTGAGAGTTTTAACGAATAAAAAATTTATTTAGTTTGTTTTTTCAATACAGCTTTTTTCTTCTTAAATATTTTTCTATTTTTTAATATTTTCCTTCCTAACTATTTTTTCCTCTTAAATATTTTTTTCTCAACTATTTTCATTTTCTTCTTGAATATTTTCTTAGAATTTTTTTTAAAATATTTTTTTGACCCTGCTTGCATAAAAAAAGAAATGAAAGTTTCTTAATTTCGATTCTTTAAAAATAATAGAAGGATTTAATGAATGAAAACTTTATTTAAAAATATCAGATCTTTTAAAAACAGTGGCAGGTTATATTTGTTTTCATGGCATTAACTCAGTTCTAGGTTTTACATAAATAACTGCTACCCCAACACTCCATCGGTACACCCTGCGATACCTACATCCCAAAGCCTTTGATCCACCAGGTGTGTAGAACCTAATTAATAGGCGAGGCAGTCAACCGAAGTTCTATAATGACCGTTGCATGGAGTGTGATCGAAGGCCGAAGCCCCCCTGCCCCCAAGACTATACAGCATTTCCACTTACTTTACACTTTCCTAACCCAATAAACTTCTAGCTAAGATATATTTCAGAGATTTACATGTGTTCCACCTAGACAGTGCAATGTCATACTAACAGCTATAAGTTGCTACTTAGCTTTTCCGGCTTTTAATGGTTTTTAATTTTATATCTCCCAGGCGCTAAGTCTTCTAACCCGAGTGAGCAAGGCTAGGTTTCCATGTTTTTACTGGCAATTACCTAGAAGTTCGGCTACGGTCTGCAATCTGGTTACATAAAAAACTACAGATAAATTTGTAGAAAAAGTTTCGCTATTTCTTAGACCTCTCCTCCTCAAATAACTCACATGGAAAAACCGAAGATGTAGGGTGAACTTTTTCATAACAAAAATCCAAACAATGACCTCACACCTGTTTCACATACTCATTGCAAAGCAGAAAGTTTTTTTGTGGCTATCCCCCCCTTCACTATAGATTTGATTAAAATCATATTTCATTTTATTTAATTTAGCTTTTGAATGAGTAATGGGTTGGAATGGGTTCGATATTTAGTCATTGAGTAATTTTATTTTATTTTCTTCGATAGAAGAAAGAAAAACACATTAAAAACTATCTGTAGGCGATGTTCGGAATAAATTAGTACGAACATTATTATTTAAATTTTTAATAGAACTAAACCACTGCATATTTTTGTGTTAATTCATAAGAATTTGTATAAGACAAGAGAACTTCAACAAATACTGTAAAATTTTTCAATATACTTAGTCTGTAGCTTTTCATGCAATTAAATTAGAAAATATAACCGAAAATCAAGTTATTTTCTATTAAGTAAATAGAAACCCAGTTTTCTCACGGAATTAAAAGATTTATCGTCTGTAAGAAACAAAGAAACATCACCCGAAAAGCTGCAAAAGATAAGTAATAATTTATAATTGTTGGTATAAAATTTCAAAGTTTAGGTGACGCCATGTAAGCCGCCAAGATATATCTTATATGAGAGTCCATTATATTCGATAAGCGTAGAGTAAGTAGGTATTATGTGTGATCTCTAAGAAACCCAGCCTAGGAAGCGATAAAGAGTACAATTTGAATAACATACGATATATAAAATTAGTATCACGCATCTTCAATGAAAATATTAGGGATGTAGGGATCGTAGGGTCATAATGAGGCTATTCGGGAAGTAATTACCTATGTTTGATCTAGAATATCGTAAATTATTGAAAAATCTTAGTAAATATTCATTTTTTAAAAAGATATGATATGTATTAAA